TTTGCTTTCTTCCCTCGCCGTCTCGTCCGTCTCCTGCCCCCCTCCCGCCCCATTGGTTGTTGGCTTGTGGTTTCGTTTGAGCGCCCGTTGTCGGCTGGCCTCTTCTTCCTTCTCTGCCAGGAGGTCATGAACCTCTCAGCTCCCTGCAGCACCGCCGCATGCCAGGGTACTCCCCCCTCCACCTTCGCGGCTTCCATCCACTTTAACTACGGTGCCGCGTCTTTAGGTACCGGGATTCCGAGACAACATGGATCGGTTTTCGTAGATCTGTGGTCGGCCCCGAATACCTTCAGGTCGTCGAGCACACACTTTGGCCAGTTCTGTTCCTGTCCCCCCCTACGTCGCTTCTCCCCCCCAACCAGTTCGCCGAGCATCAGTCGTTTCGGGAGTCGCCCGTCCGGCTACCTTGCCAATGCTCCCGCGAACAGTATGCGTCGTTGTCGGATCGTGAGTACGTGTCTGCGAAGAAAGTGATTGTAGCTACAATTCCCGCCCAGTGTTCCCACTTCAACCACATCTATTTACTACCACAGAACATATCGCAATTCGCAAGGAAGGGGTTCTCAGCCGTCCTTCTCCCTCAAGTTTTATCATAATCCCCAGTGTTTTCATCCGCATTTCGTAGCAGCAGTACGCGTTTCCTCTGTGCTATGTACAGTCGGGCCTGCCTGCAGATACCGAAGTAACTGATTATTGTGCTCCTCCTTTTTTCAAAAAGAAACGAAAATAAGGTACGATGAAGATATCTATCTACAAGAGAGGTGGATCGCTCCTGTCCCCCAGGTACATACCACTTACGAATAGTCTCTATGTAGAGCAACCTGTCCCCGACGGTGGCGAGGCAATAAGAAATTGTAGCCCTGGAACCGACGTGCACGTTATTTTGTTGCGGGCCCACTCTGCACATTAAGCCAGCCGCTGACGTTCCTCCGATCCAGACTCAATCAAGCGGGAGGGTTCTTCCTGTGGATGAAACCCCGCTTGTGCCTGCCGCCGTCGAATCCATTAATTGATTGGTGAATTTCTGAAGCTGAGTGGACGCCCCTCCCCCTCGCTCAACCCCGCCTGTACGGAGGCTCTGTGACAGTTTCAACTGGATAGTACGGGATCAGCCCCCCTTCTTCGCATCACACGTTAAAATCGGAGGTTGGCATTTATTTATATGTGTCCCACCCAGCAGGCCAGAGGGGCGCTCTCTGACAGATCAGCACCCAAGAACGTGTTGCAAAGGGATAGTGTGGATACAAACACGAAGGTGAGCTCTTCAGGGGATGGAATGGTCTACACACAGCTTCCTAAACACGATAACATGGCAACTATAACGCCACAGATGGAAGACGACAGTGTCCCCGCCTGGTGGAGCTGGTGATCTTGCATCACTTCCAACCATTAGTTACAAACAACGTCCGATAATCGCTCACGGTAACTATGTCTTGAAATGGGGTCAGCCGGGTTGGTGGAGGAATACCTAGAAGGCAGGGTGCCTGTGCTTGTTGTGCAGGAGTAGGCCGGCCTGAAAAGCACTGCCAACATGTGACGCGCAATCGTTTTGTCGACGTCCTTGTGCAAAGCCTGGTTGGTGCTCACGACCGACGTCCTTGAGAGCACGGTGCGGCCCAATCAAGTGGAAGGAGAAGAAGATGGAGAAGGAGGCCACATTCAGCAGCAGGGCCGGACAAGCTGAAGCTGCTGGCTATCTCGGTCGAGGCAGCTTGGAGGTTCAAGGAAACTGGAGGCCTCTCCAGGACAGCTATACTTCATGGCTTGGGTCGATACGACGTGGAACGAATTTTTTGATAGGTAGGGCATTGACGTTGAAACCTCTGAGCAGGATCTACTACGAGCACGCGGCTCTTTTCAATACTCAGCAATCCTCCTGTGTCCTCTTTGTGCAGGCTAACCTTCCAATGACCACTCGGGAGATGTTAGAACGCTGTAGTTGGTAGAGGTGGCGACAACCACCAAAGAAAGCTCTTCTCGTGATTATCGCTCTGGAGAAACAACAAAGTAGTAGAAGCGGTGCATATGTTGTGTGTGGTAATCACATATGTATTGTGAGCCTGTCAACAAAGTCTGATGAACTCAGGAGCTTTCCGATAACCACGCCGCTACTGGTGGTGCTCCCGCCGCTTGCCATGTCGCCACCCTTCGCCTTTCTGTCCTGCTGAAACGTACAACTCGTGAGATTGTCGACCACGGCCTCCAACCCTTGGTCTGGTGCGGACGGTAGCATATACCTGACGAACTGCAACATTGATCGACGGTCAACCCAACCGTTCTCGTCCGGCTCCAAGAGAGTCTCGACGACTGTTTATTTTTCATAGGGGAACGTTCATCCGTAATCGAGGACAGGAAAGTGCGAGCAACGAGTTACAACTATGGTGTAGGTGGACAAGGGGACAGCATCGTAGAATCCCCAAGCTCTCAAACCTGGGCTTTCAGGCCGAATCCGTTTTATGTTTTTCTGCGGGCGGGCAGGTATCCCAAGAGGGTCTTGTGCCTAGAGCAGAACGTCGACACACTATTATAGGACCTCGTATGAAGGAGGCATGTGCCCGAAACGCGGGCACACTTAACGCATTCATTCACCTTTCTCTTTCTCCGCTCTGGAAGCCCAAGCAGAAAAAGCCCAAAATATGTGAACGAAGAGTTCATAGGTGATGCCGGCCCGGTTGTGTCCAGATATTATTGCTCCACTGTCTCGTTGGTGCTCTCCACTATCTTCGCTGGAACCACCACCGATTGAACGGCCTGATGCTGTCCCGTGGTTCTTGTCTGGTGCCAGAAGGATTTTGTCGATGTACGCTCCCACGAACACGTTTGTCGATACCTGCTCCACACCGCGCGAGTTGTGGGAAACACCCATTGACGGCAGAGTCACTACAGCGCGACTGCTCTGTGCATCAGGCGGTGTTCTTAGAAAGGTTGCCAAAAAATGTGGTCCACTCAGGGTGAGCGATTGTGCATGCCTCGTGTCAGGGAGAAACCATTCGAGTGGTCGTACCCGGCAAGAAAATCTACGAAGAGATGTTGAGGCCTACAGGTCGACACATACATGGTGCGCATGAAACAGCTCGGGGCATTATGACATGACATGTGACCACTCCACGCTGTTTAAGCGTACCCCCCGTGAAGCCACGCCATACCTACCTGTAATCCTTCCAAACTGATCTACATTTTTCTTGAATGACGTAGAGATTCTGCTATCATTACAGGATTCTTGGGTAAGTCTAATCGTATATCCGTACCGCAACTCCACTACCGCTGTAAACTACTGAAGTTCAGAGTACATGGTGAAGGGCTCTGGATCGAAGGCACACGAACATACGAACGAATGGCAAGTGTTGGAGTAATTGCAGTACAGGAACGACTCTATTCTACTGCGTGGTATATGCAGTATTGCGAAGGCGTTGCCAAGTCTGTAACCGTCAGGTGAAGTCAGCTTGGCGTCTGTCCGGATAATAAGATCACTCTGTTTGTTTGCCTACCTAACCTCGCATCACATGCCAGCTACTTTGTAGCTACAGCTGAAGGATAGCTGTACAGCAACTGCAGTGACAGTTCTGTTGCCTCAACAGCAAGCACTGCACCAGGACACACCCCATCAGGGGAGAGGAACGTTACCTGTGGCTCTGCACTGGAGCTCCGGCTAGGAAATACACAGGACCGCAGTCAGAAACTGAAGCGGCGCCATCAATGGATGGGAAACTGCAGAACGCAAGGCTCGGAACTCAATAGGTCCTGTAGAGGCATTCTTCTTGGTAGCTGCAGCAGCAGCAGAGAAAGAACGAACAACGCCTCCCAATACGCCCACCACCATCACACCTACCTCCGGTTGAGAACAGAAAGCTCCTTTCGTGATTGGACGAGGGTCTCCGCCCTGCTCGGTGACCAGAGATGCAAATCGCTTCTCCAGTCGCCGAGTCTGATCATTCGTAACTGTGCGAGTGTGTGAGCGGCGCATGACATTCACAATCGGTAATCATGGGGGTTCATGCAAACACACGCAAGTCCGAAGTCTAGCCTACACTACAAACTACTGTAGATCACGTTAGTGTACATGTAGCATGGTGAGCACGCATATCGTGATATGTTCCATGGGGTGGTAATCTCACATTGCGGCTCCCCGACGTCCTGGGTGGGATTCATGCTCACTCCTCTTCGGTCCTAACGGACGAGGAACGGCTCAGGATATGTAGCAATACTGCTGTGCCTTGGGCGCAAAAGATCTGTGTACAACAACATATTCGCCTGATTGAGAGCGTAGCATCTGATTGAGAGCGAGATTGCGCGATACGCTGTAGCCGGACTACCACTGAGAGGTGGAGCTTGCTGTGTAGCTTGAATTGAAGGGCTAGCCCGTAGCTTCAAGCCGCTACCCTGGTCATCCTGTGGGAGTCTCTCGTTGTGGAGCTACAGCGGGGAGCAGAAGCTACAGCAGAGCCCACCGCCCGACGCGATACCGCCCTGAAACAGTTTGAGCAGAAATAGCCAATCTGGGCAAATCTAGCAACTTGTCTAGCTCCTCGCTGCAGCATCCGATGACGATGACACGCATATGCTCGCGAAGCTGCTGATGAGACCTTCAATTTGCACCGCTTCTTGGAATAGCCCGTCCCCTACTTGCCAAGAAATGGCAAGAGGCGTCTGGACCCGAAATTTCATTTTTTTTGGCTCTCGCTCTCAATCAGATACTTCGCTCTCAATCAGGCGAATATGTTGTTGTACGTGAAATGGATCGTTGGGAATGCGAAGCACCGCACACCCGATGAATATGCAAACGCAATGGAGGAGGCCGACTGGATTGAGTCGCAGTAGCATCCAGGACGGAGCGGTGGCCGGTAGAGGTGGTGTGGTCGCGCGTCCGACATACTTCGTACATGGCGTACGGCAGGTAGAGCGCGGATCGGATGATGCATTAAACCGCTGCCGCAAGTGCAATCTCCCAGATCTCCGCTCGTGGCACGGTGTCCCCAGCAAGCCGCTGGCTCTCCACCGACTCTTTCTGCTCTCTCTTGTTCGTTCTTCTCCCTCCCGCCCCCCGCCACCCTTTCTTGTCTCTCACTCCTGCCCGAAGGTAGATGGACGTACAGGGTATCCTCAGATGGCTCGTGGACGCCAAAATCCCTGTGGCTAAGGCCATGCCCCTCGTGAGCGCCTTGGCAGCGGCTGGAGTGCGGGATTCCCATGGCATCGCCTCCTTGGGTGAAGACCGGTTGGCCGACACAGTCACGGACAAGCCGTCGCTGTAAGGCCCAACATCATCACTACATGGCTAGCCGATGTGTAATTGATTCATTGAACAAGCACGTGCACGTACTGCTACTGCTGCAAAGTGTGCGGTTTACTTTCTAAAACACGTGGAGGTGCCGGATGAATTCTGTTCTCAGTTCATGTTTTTATTATGTTTTTTATGTGTCGAATCCCGCCGCATGCAGTTTTGCGCGTTTTCCCGCCAATCGCGATCGGTGTACATTCAGACCACGGTGCTTGCCTCTACTGCCCATACCACGCCATGTAGAGGACAACCATGGTTTGAGTCAGCGTTCGGTTTCGTGTATTCCGAGCGACTCTTATGATATTTCGTTTCATTCTTGGTCACCCGGGTTATGGTGCGACAACGAAGTGTTTCAAATTTCGTGTGCGCCCTTCTCCTCCCATTCTTTTACAGTTTTTTCATATTTCCACTTTTTCAATTTTTACTACCCCCCGCGTGTGGAAAAAATTAAAAAATGCAATACTTGTGCCCCCTTTGGTTGGCGAAAAAAAAAAAAAAAACTGTGAACGGACCTTCAGGAAGAAGATTCGCGCCAAGATATTCGGCAAAGGGGGCAAACGCTCCGCAGGTGGAAGCGCATCCACTGAATGCGGCAGTACCACCAGCAAGAGAGCAAGGCCATCGGTTTCGGGGGCGGACAAAACCCTTGCAGCGGCTGCTGAGCGTGCGCCTGAGCCTCCGTGTTCTTCGCTCTCGGATGAGCAACTCGCCAAAGTCGAAATCAAGATTAACCGCTCCCCGGTGATGGTGCTCTGGGCAGCGGTACGTTTTGTTCAACCTGTGTTTGGTTATGATGTTTATTGCATGCACTTGCGCTACAAAACGTCTACAATGGGCCCTTTCGTTCTCAAAAGCGTCGCTGTCCCTGCAATACTGCTGTGTCCCGGTGAAGAGATTGTTTACCTGGCTCAAGTCTGGCCGGTACGCAGACAATCTTCACCCATCGCGTTGGGCAAGGCGACAGAGGGCAGTAATGTTTGAGGGGGGTCGATACTTGGTCGCAGACAAATAGGAGGAGTAAGTAGACAACGTTGAAAAGAAGAGGATGTGATATGCTCCATGCTTTAGTGCTGTGGATTCACAGGGCATATTCCCCAAAGTTGGCAAGGATTCGCTCATCCCTCGCTCCTGATTTTCTGATAAAAATTTTCACGACTTGGTCGAACGGAGAAACATGTACCAGTACACCGATTTGATTGTTTTTGGCGACGATATTACAGGAGGTGGCACAGCGACTATCGTTCGATTGGAGTGAGGCCATTACGCTTGGTCGTGCTGTCGCGGATTGGTTGGCGTTGAAAAAGGGGGAGCATCTAGGCCTGTTGGAGGCGGATGAAGAAGCAGAGCGAGCAGCGATGGAGGAAACCGACAACCTTCCAACCCGTACTGTGGACATGATGGTGAGCGTGTGACACGGTGTTGATCGTCAGGCTTGGAATAGAAAGAATAATGTCTGACGTCACTGTATGATGCAATGGCTTCTCCTACTACCCGCTGCACCATGCCTCGCCTGTTGTAAGTAGTTGAAGTTGAAGTAGAGAAGCAGGTGCTCAAGGCAATCTCTCCCCAGAGCAACAAAACAACAGTCTATCCCACCGAGGCCAATGGACACGCCAGCCAGCTCCAACCCAACCGATGAACTGTTGTTTTGTCGGTGGTTCTCACCATTTGAGATTCTATGTTTGTTGTGTGCAACATCAAAAAGGGACAAGACTTTACGCTTCGCCGGACGGAGGGTGGGTGGCGTGCGATCAGCAAAGGCAAGCTTGTGCCAGCGAAAAGGGTGCACGCTTTCCTCTGCAAGGCCTATGGAGTCAATCTGGGACCCGCACGTGCGTCCCTTCGGGCTCTAGGTAAGCCATGAGCTTCGTCTTGTCCTGATTTAGTTCTGTAGTGGGCACCCTCCGTAGAGTCTGTACGAAGTGACCGTCACATCTAAGCTTACTAAGCTTTAACGGCTGTTTGTATCTTGTGTCAACCCGGTTGGTCTCTAAGAATCTCAAGTCTGTTATTGTGATATCCGGCACCGTGATCTAAATGCGGGGGTGTTGCTGTTGCAGACTTCCCTCGGACGATAAAAGTCTTCCCAGATGTACGGCCTCTACGTGTTGTTTTGATTTTGCGTTGGTATATCTTACCCCCCCTTCTGGCTTCTATCTTTTTCCCCGGGACTATTGTCGTCGTGACCTACAGTCTATGCAAGCTGCGGCGGCACTGGAACGTAGCGCCAACTGCCGTGTTGCGTATATACCCACCTTCTTGCCCGTTCCTTTCCTTGTTCATCCCCAACGGCTGCAGCGGCGGCGATACCTCAGCGGCACGTTGAGACGTCGATACGCACCATGGTGCTTTACGAGTCGTTTCGGCCGGCGGTCGCGAGGGGGAAGGCTGGGTGGGGACAGTCGGGGATGTTTCGGATTGCAACGGTGCTCAAGCTGCGAGACGAGCTTGTGCGGCAAGGGGTGGGTGGCGGCGGTGGTGGTGCTTGTGATGGCGACGGAGGTGATCGGCAGGAACAGGCAGGGGCGTCTCCGTCGTGCAAATGAACAAGAGAGGTGCTTGGGTAGCTTGCCGTTGATGGCGGAAGGATTCCCAGCCGTTTCCCTGGGGAAACCTGCTTGGGACCAGAAGGAAGACGCGCTTGGCGTCACGAAGTGAGATATATCTGACACGGCATGAGGTGGATGTGTCAAGGTGACCTCTTGCCGCTGTAATGCAGTGTTCGAGCACTCCTGGTATGAGTTTGTCGGAACGATATTTTTGTGTGAACTGATCAGGAAAGCGACAGTCTCGGGGAAGTTACTTTTCGCCCGGGGCGTTCTTTTTCAGAAACTATTTGTAGGTGCCCTCCGGGGCGTCCTCGAAGGATATTACGAAACTGCCATGATAGGAATGAAGTGGTCTGCTTAATCGTTGCGCTCGGATTGATATGTAGCGATCAATGATGTCCACGTGGGACCTTACTGCTTTCGTGAATTCTTCTCTGACGTATTTGCCTGTACACGCTCGTTTTCCGTGGACTTCAAGAAAGTGTTGCTGTATTTTGACATGCAATATGTTTTTTTTCTCGTTGCTCTACTCTGGGCAACAACGCAAAATTTCCCACTTTGGTTGCGTCGTTTTTTTGTTTATCGTCATCGAACGCTCGGACGGATTCGGTTGTTGCAGTTGTGGAGGTTTCGAGCGGGCAAAGCGCAGCGCCCTGTAATTTTGGGGGATGCTCTTGTGTCAAGGTTAGCACTGTTGAGGATTCCCGTGGTTGCCCAGGAAGTATCCCATCTGATTTGCTTCTCCAAGACGACACGTTGGCAAGTGAGTTTTTGGATAAATACCAACTGGGCTTGTTTTTTTTATGATGCTGTTGAGTCAAGTTGGGATCAATGAGTCCAAGTACCCAGCGGCATCGTGAAGAAGGGCGGCGGCGGGCTGCGTAACAAGGACCATGTTTTGTGCTTTCGGACCGAGACCCACAACGGATACACGTAGATAGTCACGGTACGTCGTACCTACATGCGGAACTCTGTACGTAGGTACAAGAAAGGGTTGCTGCATGGGACGACTGGTGGTGCGTTCCACAACAACGGCATTGTCGCCAACGCCTTGCCGTAGTGAGATTTATTTCGATGTGCTGTGCCGTGGAGATGGACGCCCTCCCCGGCGGTTGATGATTTCCCTACGGGACCCGACCTCAACGTTGCCCTCGTAGTGTTCGAGCTTGACTTCATATCTTTCATCCTCACCCTCCCTTTGAACAGGTGCCACGAAACGTCATCACATCACCTCAAAAAGTTATTTTTGCTCGGCAAGCCCCTATTCCTTCATCAACGCTGCCAACGCCGTCGCCGTGAACGCCTCACTGGTAGCTACCGCCTCTTCGACTTTGGCGTGCCCCGGCAGGAATGCTGTCGACGGAGCGAATCATATCCCTCTTCACCCCCCGCTCCTTCTCGCCATCATTGTAGTCGATGTTGAACGTGCCGTCGAGATTGATTCTACTAATTCGCCCAGAGTAAAACCGCCCCCGGCCTTGGAAGTTGCCTTCTACGAGGTCACCTTCAAGAAGCGTCGGACCATCACCATCGTCGGCACCGTTTCCAGAACCGGACCTCGAACCTCGTCCGCTATCACGACGGCTGGAGCTCGGTTGTCCGCCTTGTATACCTCGGCGAGACTTCACTTGCTCATCGTCTATCGTGTTTCTCGCGCTGACATGACCAGCCATCGCTTTGAAGCGGCTTGTTGGTGATGCGACTGCAGCACCACCACCGCCATCGCGTCCAAGTCTTCTAATAAGGCTGTTTTCCACCGCTCGTTCCTCGTCCCCATCGGCATAAACAAGCCAGTACGTTCCATCTCTATTCTTCCTTTCCACGGTTGCCCTGAACCAGCGTGACCGTCCACCGAAACGCCCCTCCACTTTATCACCCTCGGCGAAGTCCTCGCTTGCATTGTCATCTCGCCCCTGACGGGTGCTTGGGCTCCTGCTCCGAGACGCCAGCCTTCCGTCTGTGTTTCGTTGCGACTCAAACGATCGAACGTGCTCCGCCGCAATCCCAATCTCCTTCTCGCCATCATCATAGGAAATATCGAACGTGCCGTCGGAGTTGACCCGCGAGATCTTGCCCTTGTAGAACTTGGTGCCCCGCCCGCGGTACCTCGCCTCGACTCTGTCTCCCCTCTCGTGTCTGCTGCTTTGCCCGCTTCGGCCCTCGTCACGCTGAGAGCTTCCTCGATCGCTGGCCCGGATCAGATCGTCTGTGACCCCGTGTTCCTTCTCACCGTCGTCATAGTCGATGTTGAAGGTCCCATCCACGTTGACCCTGCTGATTCGTCCCGGATAGAACCTCCCCCGACCTCGGAAGTTGGCCTCGACCTTGTCGCCTTCCATCAACGTCGGAGCCCTTGCTCTACCACTACCACCACGGCCACCTTCACTGGTTGACTGCTCCAAGGATCGAACGTGCTCCGCCGCAATCCCAATCTCCTTCTCACCATCGTCATACGATATATCGAAAGTCGCGTCGGAATTTACTCGCGATATCTTGCCCTTGTAGAACTTGGTCCCCTTCCCACGGTACCTCACCTCGACCCTGTCTCCCTTTGCCATCCTGCTGCCGTTTGTGTCACTATCGCCTGCGTTGTGTTGCGGCTCCAAAGACCGCACGTGCTCCGCCGCAATCCCAATCTCTTTCTCACCATCATCGTAGGTTATATCCATGGTCTCATCGGAATTGACTCGCGAGATCTTGCCCTTGTAGAACTTCGTACCCCTTGCACGGTACCTCGCCTCGACTCTATCGCCCCTGGTCATCCTTTCCCCCCGACCACGGCCACCTGCACTGATTGGCCGGTCCAAAGATCGAACGTGCTCCATCGCAATCCCAATCTCCTTCTCACCATCATCGTAGGCTATGTCGAATGTGTCGTCGGAATTGACTCGCGAGATCTTGCCCTTATAGAACTTGGTCCCCTTCCCGCGGTACCTCGCCTCGACCCTGTCTCCCTTGGCCATCCCGCTTCCTCTCTCACCAGTTGCGGCCTCAACTGACTTCAAAGACCGTACGTGCTCCGTCGCAATCCCAATCTCCTTCTCGCCATCATCATAGGAAATATCGAACGTGCCGTCGGAGTTGACCCGCGAGATCTTGCCCTTATAGAACTTGCTCCCCCTTCCACGGTACCTCGCCTCGACTCTGTCTCCTCTCTCGAGCCTGCCGCTTCCCCCGCTTCGACCCTCATCGCGGTGGGCATTTCCTCGATCGCTGGCCCGGATCAGATCATCTGTGACCCCGCGTTCCTTCTCACCGTCGTCATAGTCGATATTGAAGGTCCCATCCAAGTTGACCCTGCTGATTCGTCCCGAATAGAACCTCCCTCGACCTCGGAAGTTGGCCTCGACCTTGTCGCCTTCCATCAACGTCGGAGCCCTTGCTCTACCACTACCACCACGGCCACCTGGGCTGGGTGGCGACTCCAACGATCGAACGTGCTCCGCCGCAATCCCAATCTCCTTCTCGCCATCGTCATACGATACATCGAAAGTCGCGTCAGAATTTACTCGCGAGATCTTGCCCGTGTAGAACTTGGTGCCCCGCCCGCGGTACCTCGCCTCGACTCTGTCTCCCCTCTCGAGTCTGCTGCTTTGCCCGCTTCGACCCTCGTCACGCTGAGAGCTTCCTCGATCGCTGGCCCGGATCAGATCATCTGTGACCCCGTGTTCCTTCTCACCGTCGTCATAGTCGATATTGAAGGTCCCATCCACGTTGACCCTGCTGATTCGTCCCGGATAGAATCTCCCCCGACCTCGGAAGTTGGCCTCGACCTTGTCGCCTTCCATCAACGTCGGAGCCCTCCTCCCCGGACCACGTCCGCCTGCACTGGTTGGCCTATCCAAAGATCGAACGTGCTCCGCCGCAATCCCAATCTCCTTCTCGCCATCATCGTAGGCTACGTCGAAAGTCGCGTCGGAATTTACTCGTGATATCTTGCCCTTGTAGAACTTGGTCCCCTTCCCACGGTACCTCACCTCGACTCTATCTCCCTTGGCCATCCCGCTTCCTATCACGTGATTTTCGTCTGCATTTCGTTGCGACTCAAACGATCGAACGTGCTCCGCCGCAATCCCAATCTCCTTCTCGCCATCATCGTAGGCTACGTCGAAAGTCGCGTCGGAATTTACTCGTGATATCTTGCCCTTGTAGAACTTGGTCCCCTTCCCACGGTACCTCACCTCGACTCTATCTCCCTTGGCCATCCCGCTTCCTATCACGTGATTTTCGTCTGCATTTCGTTGCGACTCAAACGATCGAACGTGCTCCGCCGCAATCCCAATCTCCTTCTCGCCATCATCATAGGAAATATCGAACGTGCCGTCGGAGTTAACGCGTGAGATCTTGCCCTTGTAGAACTTGGTCCCCTTCCCACGGTACCTCACCTCGACTCTATCTCCCTTGGCCATCCCGCTTCCTATCACGTGATTTTCGTCTGCATTTCGTTGCGACTCAAACGATCGAACGTGCTCCGCCGCAATCCCAATCTCCTTCTCGCCATCATCATAGGAAATATCGAACGTGCCGTCGGAGTTAACGCGTGAGATCTTGCCCTTGTAGAACTTGCTCCCCCTTCCACGGTACCTCGCCTCGACTCTGTCTCCCCTCTCGAGCCTGCCGCTTGCCCCGCTTCGGCCCTCGTCACGCTGAGAGCTTCCTCGATCGCTGGCCCGGATCAGATCGTCTGTGACCCCATGTTCCTTCTCACCGTCGTCATAGTCGATGTTGAAGGTCCCGTCCACGTTGACCCTGCTGATTCGTCCCGGATAGAACCTCCCCCGACCTCGGAAGTTGGCCTCGACCTTGTCGCCTTCCATCAACGTCGGAGCCCTTGCTCTACCACTACCACCACGGCCACCTTCACTGGTTGACTGCTCCAAGGATCGCACGTGCTCCGCCGCAATCCCAATCTCCTTCTCACCATCGTCATACGATATATCGAAAGTCGCGTCGGAATTTACTCGCGATATCTTGCCCTTGTAGAACTTGGTCCCCTTCCCACGGTACCTCACCTCGACCCTGTCGCCCTTTGCCATCCTGCTTCCGTTCGCGTCACTATCGCCTGCGTTGATTTGTGGCTCCAAAGACCGTACGTGCTCCGTCGCAATCCCAATCTCTTTCTCACCATCATCGTAGGTTATATCCATGGTCTCGTCGGAATTGACTCGCGAGATCTTGCCCTTGTAGAACTTGCTCCCCTTCCCGCGGTACCTCGCCTCGACTCTGTCTCCCCGCTCGAGCCTGCCCCGCCTCTCTCCACCCCCACCTGCACTGATTGGCCGGTCCAAAGATCGAACGTGCTCCACCGCAATCCCAATCTCTTTCTCACCATCATCGTAGGCTATATCCAACGTGTCGTCGGAATTGACTCGCGAGATCTTGCCCTTGTAGAACTTGCTCCCCTTCCCGCGGTACCTCGCCTCGACTCTGTCTCCCCGCTCGAGCCTGCCCCGCCTCTCTCCACCCCCACCTGCACTGATTGGCCGGTCCAAAGATCGAACGTGCTCCACCGCAATCCCAATCTCTTTCTCACCATCATCGTAGGCTATATCCAACGTGTCGTCGGAATTGACTCGCGAGATCTTGCCCTTGTAGAACTTGCTCCCCTTCCCGCGGCACCTCGCCTCGACTCTGTCTCCCCGCTCGAGCCTGCCCCGCCTCTCTCCACCCCCACCTGCACTGATTGGCCGGTCCAAAGATCGAACGTGCTCCGCCGCAATCCCAATCTCCTTCTCACCATCATCGTAGGCTATGTCCATGGTGTCGTCGGAATTGACCCGCGAGATCTTGCCCTTATAGAACTTGGTCCCCTTCCCGCGGTACCTCACCTCGACCCTGTCTCCCTTGGCCATCCCGCTTCCAATCACGTCATTGTCACCTGTGCTGTTTTTCGGCTCCAACGATCGAACGTGCTCCGCCGCAATCCCAATCTCCTTCTCGCCATCATCATAGGAAATATCAAACGTGCCGTCGGAGTTGACCCGCGAGATCTTGCCCTTGTAGAACTTGCTCCCCCTTCCACGGTGCTTCGCCTCGACTCTGTCTCCCCTCTCGAGCCTGCCGCTTCCCCCGCTTCGACCCTCGTCGCGGTGGGCATTTCCTCGATCGCTGGCCCGGATCAGATCGTCTGTGACCCCGCGTTCCTTCTCACCGTCGTCATAGTCGATGTTGAAGGTCCCATCCACGTTGACCCTGCTGATTCGTCCCGGATAGAATCTCCCCCGACCTCGGAAGTTGGCCTCGACCTTGTCCCCTTCCATCAACGTCGGAGCCCTTGCTCTACCACCACCACCACGGCCACCTTCACTGGTTGACTGCTCCAAGGATCGAACGTGCTCCGCCGCAATCCCAATCTCCTTCTCGCCATCATCGTAGGCTATGTCCATGGTGCAATCGGAATTTACGCGCGATATCTTGCCCTTGTAGAACTTGGTCCCCTTCCCACGGTACCTCACCTCGACTCTATCTCCCCTGGCCATTGTGTGGCCCCTTCCCCCGCCACTACCTGCGTTTGTTTGCGGCTCCAAAGATCGAACATGCTCTGGTGCAATCCCAATCTCTTTCTCACCATCGTCATACGTTATGTCCATAGTGCCGTCGGAGTTCACGCGTGAGATGTTGCCCTTGTAGAAGTTGGTCCCCTTCCCGCGGTACCTCACCTCTACTCTGTCTCCCCTAGCCATGGTGCTTCCTCTCGTCCTACCGCCACCGCCACTTGCCCCTGGTTCCAAAGATCGAACGTGCTCTGTCGCAATGCCAATCTCTTTCTCTCCATCATCGTATGCTACATCGACGGTATCGTCGCTGTTGACTCTGGAAATGGTGCCCTTGTAGAACTTTGTACCACGAGCGCGATATCTCGCCTCGACTCTATCTCCACGGGAAAAGCTGCTAGCGGGCCCGCCTCGTGTTTCTTGGCAACTGCGCCCTTCATTCGACTCGTCCCTGCTAGGCGAGCTCGCCTTGCGACGAGACCTGGCCGAACTTGGCCCTCTTGCTCCGTCGCTGCCGCTGCCGCTGCCGGCACCCCGCCCGCTCTCTCTCTTCCTCAGTTTATCGCGGTCTGAAGGCCGACCACCGGCAAGATGCTTTTCCCGGTGCCGATCTCGGTCGCGGGTGCGGTCGTGATCGTCGTCCTCGATATTGCGACCCCCTCCGCGGCTCCTGGTTTGCTGTCGCTCGCGACCACCACGCTCCTCCTGCGGGACACTGCCGCGACGGCCTCTACCTCTGCTTCCAAACGCGCTGCCGTCACTTCGGTCACCGTCATCACCGGTGTCGCTCTCCTCGGATGTCAACCTTTTTCCACCTTCCCGCCCGTACCGTGACCTGCTCCACCAGTAGCAGCAGCAGAGGTGGCACGGGCGCGATCGACACGACGCACTTATGGCACGTTATCGGTGAGAGGTAGCGGGGACGGTAAGTGCTCTTGGAAAACGATGTGAGGCGCATGGTCTGGGCTAAACGCCGGCCACCTTCGGACTTGCCGTCCTTCTGAGTGCTGCAGTGCCGTGTGCCTCGACAACATAGTCCAAGCTCGCGCGACTTCATCACAAGTGCGCTACGAAGAATAGTCGAAGGAACGCGTACCAGAGAAATTCCGTGGCCTTGAAGTGTAGGAAGGACGGCGCGTCGTTCATCGGATGTATCTACCCGCACGCTTGCACATGTTCACCTACAATACTCACAGTCTGGATTATTTCTGCTTTTTTGAAGATAACCTGCAACCAGCACCGTGTGCAGGGGGAACTCCCGACCATTTTTCACGTTGCATCAAGCCTTGAACATATTTTTGCACCTACTGAACCTATGCTTGTCGCGCTTGTGCCTCATGGCTCGTCTTCCTCTCCGGGAGGGAGAGCCGTCCTTGTCCTCCTCGATATCGGAACTACTTGCGCCCGAATCCGCCAACCGGCTCCTTGATCTCCGGGGAGAATAGCTTGGTCGTCGCTTTCTCGACGCCGATCTAGAGCGTCTCGTCTCGCCGTAGTCGCCGCCGCTACCGCTACCGAGCCCTCGCCCGCGGCTGACTCCCCCCGCCCCCATGACCCTTCTAGGCGATACCCCTCGATGAGGGACTGGGCTGCGCCGGTGTCGGTCGTCTTCGTCGTCAGCACTCGTGCTGGTGGAACCTCCTTGGTCTTCGTCGTCGTCGTAGGCTCTTCCTTCTCCGGAGCGTCCTCGCCGCCTTGTTCGCCTGCGGCTGCCACTTCTGCCGCCTCCACGTTTACCACTGACGCTCATGTACTCGTCGTCGTCGTCGTCGTCGTCGTCGTCTCTCGGTCCTCGACTGCTACGGCGGGCTTTGAATGGGATACTACTGCCACCGCCGCCCAGAGGTATCATCGAAGGCGCAAAGCCGGTAACGTGTGCCCCGGAATCGTGGACTCCGAGCGCGGCCATCGATCGTAGAAACTCGAAGAACGTCACCTGGGTCGTGAGGCGCGTAAATTGGGAGTTCGGCTATTGTGAAACTTCCCACGTTTCGGGAATTGGTTGAAGGCTAGACGAACGGAAAAATATTGACAATAGTTGGTAGAAACTTCTCATGGCATGAGTATCCGCTCAAGGCATTAGAACCCATCGGGCGCTTTCCATCGCTCAATTCCGAAACGACGCTGTCTGTTGGTCGTCGAAGAACCAGGTGAGGGAACCATGAAAAGCAAAGGAAGTGACCTTCCCTTCAACAAGCGCTCCTACCATCCCCAAACCACTCGCGCCCGTCAAATCTCCTGAGAGGGCGACTGTCAACCCCCCCCGGAAGCACACCTCTCTGCGCAAGCCGAAGAAGCGCCGGGAGCGCAGGTATCGTCCAGCGTGCGTCCTCGGCGCCGTGCACCCGGCCTCTGTTAGCGCTTGCAGGGCCTCGTAGGTGGTCAGCATGCCGTCCACGGCGAACCGGTCAAACACGCGCTTCACTTCTGCCAGCTTCTTCACCGATCGGAGGGCTTCGAAGGCCTCAGCTTGAGCATGATCGCGGTAGTGATCATCTCCGTTGTTGCTGGTGTCCTCGACACCGTCTCCTCGGGGGGTCTTCATGAGCAGGTTCGGCGGACACGAATCGATCGGTTTGAAGGCCGAGGATTCGATGTGATCAGTGAGAGTACGTGGAAAGGCGTTCGCGGGTGACAATAATCAACATCGTGAGTAATAACATGTTATTTCAGCGGTGGATTGGCTCCTGCTCCAGATTCAGGTGCCCTTGTTCAGCGAAGGGAGGCAGCATGGGTTCGGGAATTCTGTTGACTGACCACTTTTCTCTCTACAACCGCAGAACAAATAAATTTCGCCGTACGTCAGCTTGACGCACTTTGGATTGCTTTCTGAGCGTCGACGCACTGGCGAATCACGGCCCATTACCCCGCCGACATGAACTAGAGAAAAATTTGCTGCCATCTTGTGGAAATTAAACTTGTCCTTCTGCACTGCTGTTCTATTGCGAGTTGCGCTTCCACTGCTGAACTCGACGGGCTATCACCTTTCGATGGGGTGAGTGCCTGCTGCTCCCTGTCCGAAACTCTTCCTCGTCCTCGGAACTTCCTGGCGCCCACGACCCGTGTGCCCCGTCGCCGCGACCTTGGGCCGACTTCTTCTGCCTGAGACGGACGTGTCCTGACCCCGTTACCGATACGCCCTGCTCCTTGGGACCGCCCCCGGGACCCCATGTTTCACCTAAGTCTATATATGGGTCCTCGTCGGCGAAAAGAGCAGAGTACCTGGAACAAGTTGTGTTCGCATGCCGCAATGGAAGATGGGACCCAGTTAGTGTACGGCTACGTCCATCGTTTCAAGTATCGATACGCGTTTTAGGTCAACGAAACGCTTCTTAGGTCAACAACGTTGACGCGGCAAGCCGGTCATCCCATGGCCTCCGAGTGGTGCCGTTGCGACGCTTGCATCTCCTTGGTTCACTCACGCTGTACAAAAGTCTACGAATGATATGTCGCCGCCCTGCCCCCCGCTGTCGCCGCGATGTCTCTCCCTGTCCGCCAGCCACGAGGCGCACGCCTCCCCGGAAATGTCGCGGCCCATGTACAGCAGCGCATCGCGCGCGTTGGCGGCCGATATGGTACCCTCTCCGCGCTTGTCGAAGCGGTCGAAGACCACCTGCAGTTGGGGTTAGGATTCGACCAAAACATGGTGAAAGGGGTGGAGCGGGCGGTAGATGTGTCGTCGAAATGTTGTTGCGAATGTGAGGGTAGGAAGAGGCACTTGCGACCGTGGTTGATTAACTCGTGTTGAAACGTACTAGTTGGCTTTCGTGAAAGCGGCACCACGTAAAAAAACTTCACGACGGCGCTGGCGTAGCTGTTTTCTGAAGGCGATGTGTCCCACGCCCTGAATATATGAATCCTTTACCTTGAGCTTGGTCACGAGGCGGACACGATCTCTGTCTAAGCGCTTCACGTAGTCGTCCATGTCGGCGTACTTCTTGCCCATCTGCTGAACCGATCATGCGAACGAGGTCGCCGCGCAGGCCGTGCCAGAATCAATGGTGCAAGATGGGGAGGGGGTACGAGTGTTCGTGTTTGTCGTATCGCATGCGTACTCGTTGTAGTCACACTGAGAAAACATAATCAGGATAGGGGTTTGACTTCTTAAATTGACTTACATACATCCAAGGCGATCTGTCAAACCATTGCTCAACTTCCTCTGTGAAATTTCAGCAGAATCAGGCAAGGACGGAGGTGTACGTGCGGAAGCACGGAGCCTGAGTGCCCCCTCTCCTCTCCTTCGGACTGGTGCCGCATAGGATTTGTAATATTCTTCTCGCTGCCTCAAGAACTGTCGTTTGTGACTGGATCAGCTCGAAATCGACCTCTGAATGCAGCAATACCCGCCCACAAACTTTTGCTTATGTTTAGTTGGCCCTCGAATGGTGGTCTCGTGACCGTGCTGTCTTGTATGTGGTCGAGCGCTACTTTCAACAATCAATATACATACGCTCTCCGCCTAGGACAAGGATAAGTTCGATCAACAAGCTGTTGTGAGACAAACAATGCCAAGGCGGCCAAGAGAGAGGACATGAACACGCGGGCTACCATTGCTTGCGTACCTCCTCTTCCTCCTTGTCCTTAATTTTCTGTATCCCGAGGCACACCCTTCTGCGATGTAGCGGGTGTGCAATGCCTAACATGTCATGCAGGTCTTTGTCCTTCGAATGGAAGCGATCATGGGTGGGATCGGGAGCGCGGGGGAAGGGATGTGAAGTGTACAAAATGTCGCTTTTGGTGCTTCATCGTAGACAGTCACTCGTTCGAGGGCGAACCGGGAGAGGGGTGTCATCCCCAGGGCTGGATCGGTGATAACGGGGGGATCATGGATTGGCTTAATGTTCTCTTCCCTTGGTGTGCCCTTTTGCAATGCCATGAATCCCTCATTGCACGTTCTCTCTGCCTCTGAAAACGTGCGAACGGCCCATAACGTCCGGCAGCAGTGACTTTGCTGTTCAACGGCACAGCAAGCTAGTGTGAAAACCAGTACATGTTCCGACATAATTGTTGTCAAGGAACCGACCTCGAGGTTGAGGAGAAGGGCCCCATCCACCTTTGCCCTTGCAAACTCCCTCCGGTACTCCCCCAGCTCCAGCTCATCTTCCAGCCAGTCTAACACCTGCATGGCATGGCAAGGCGCAGGTGAAAAGCTCGTGATGTTTGCTGGCATAGGCTGTGCTTTTCCGTTCATCGTGCTAGTTAGTCATCGCAACAATGTGGTGTTGTCCCCGCACGCGAGAAAAAACATGCCGTTTGCGCTTCAAACCATCGAACATCTTGTGATCAGTCAAGATGTTATCGGTTACAAAGTACAGGCTACACAAGAGCCTTGATGCAAAGGCGATTATAGTGACTGCTGGGCGCGCGGTTACGTATCAACATAACACATCGAAAACTAGATCGAACTGCCAGCTTCCTCCGTTGTCAGTAAGAATACCCCTTATTGGGTGCGGCACAACTACGCGGATGTGGTCTGCGTGCTTTATTTTCCTCCAGCGCAAGACAAATCTTGAAACCCTACTACCTCCTTACCACGTGACTGGTTCTGACCTGTTGAACGCCCCAGTCCCGCGCTGGACGCTTTTCTCTCTCTCGACTTGCCGCCACGATTGCCTCGTCCCGCCCCTCGCCTGGCCCCAAACCCCTCCTTTTCTCGTCGACAGGGCCGGGAGGCATCATGGGATAAAGCTCGCCCGTTGATGCGATTTTCACCTGCGTGCGCAAATGGTTCATGTAACATGGCCCGTGTCACGGGGCAGGGGGCGTTGACAGGGATGGAAGGAGAAAAACATGACTTCTTACCATGTTTGGTCACTCACGACACCAGAAGGTTTTCAGCTTAGAAAGGCTCTCCTCTGCCCACCCCCCCTCCTAAATCCCGCTTGACAACTTGCCTTTTTCGGCGGTGAATCCCTTTGGCTCGTCCGTTTCGGTAAGGGATAGTGAGTTTTTGTCAAGTAACTTCGACATTCTAGTTTCCCGCCTCAGACTATCTCCTGCCGGCTGCATATGCATTCCCGCTCTCCGACCCCCTCCCTCCTTATCGACCAGCTCTCCGCTTGTCACTGTTTTCCTTTCTTTTCCAGCATGTGGACTTCTCACGTGCCACCCCCCCCCCCCCC